ACAAAGAACACAAAGCTTTGTCGAACTTAGTTTTATAAAACTTCACTAAATACTTGTAAACTTTCAGAAACCTTTGTGAGCTCTGTGGTTAAAAATCGATCTTATTAAGCAAAAATAATCCCATAAAAAAGCCCCCGGATTGGAAGGCTTTTAGTATAAGTAAAAACAGTTTATTAGTTTTTAACGTGTTTTGCATATTTAGTTTTGAATTTATCAATACGTCCTGCAGTATCGATAAGTTTAGATTTACCAGTATAAAAGGGTGAGATGTTCTAGAAATCTCCATTTTTACAACTGGATACTCAACTCCGTCAACTTCAATTGTTTCTTTTGTATCTGCAGTAGATTTAGTGATAAAAACTTCGTCATTTGACATGTCTTTAAATGCAACTAATCTGTAATTTTCTGGGTGAATTCCTTTTTTCATCTTTTCTTTTTATTTTATTGTTTAGAGCATTTCTATTTTGAAGCTTTTTCATGGTTAGAAAAAGGTGTAAACAAAGGATACTCTTTTTTTGTTTAAAACTTTTAATTATTTCAGTTTGCAAATTTACAATTCTTTTTTAATCTACAAATGTTTATCCCACTTTTTTTTAGTTAAATTCAAAAAGCTTTTTTATCTCTCATATATTGGGAATTGCTATATTTGTGGATTAATTAAACTAATAATTATATGGATAAAAATATATCTCCTGCCAAGTCGGGAACTATGTACGGTCTTTTGTTCGGTGTTATAATGGTTTTAGAGTTTGTCATTATGTATGTAATTGGCATGAAATCATTAGTAAACTCAAGTGTTGGAGTAATTGTAAATATAGCCAACTATTTAGTTCTGCCTCTTATATTTATATACTTAGGTTGCAATCATTACAAGAAGGATATCAACAATGGATTCATATCTTTTTCTGAATGTTTAAAAACAGGAGTTTCAATCACTGTTATTGCAGGTCTGGTATATGCCGTATTTAGTGTGATTTTTAATCTGATATTTCCTGAATTCATAAACGAAATGTTAGAAATTTCTAAAGAAGGAATGATAACTCAGAATCCTAATATATCGTCAAAAGAATTAGAAATGGGACTTAGCATGGTTAAAAAATTCATGAACCCATTAATTGTTCTTCCAGTAACACTTGTCATGTATTCATTAATTGGATTAATTTATTCTCTAATTATTGGAGCAATAGTAAAGAATGACAAACCTTAAGTCTATAATAAAATATAAATGAATCTATCTATACTTATACCGCTTCTTAACGAAGAGGAATCACTAAAAGAACTCTATTCGTGGATTATTAAAGTGATGCAATCTAACAATTACTCTTATGAAATCATTTTTGTAGATGATGGAAGTACGGATGATTCTTGGAATATTATCGAAAGTTTTTCTAACGAAAACCCTAACGTAAAGGGAATTCGTTTCATGAAGAACTTTGGAAAATCACAGGCCCTTCATGCTGGTTTTGCAAAAGCGCAAGGAGACGTTATTATTACTATGGATGCCGATTTGCAGGATAGCCCGGATGAGATTCCAGGATTATACGAAATGATCACGGCTCAAAAATTTGATTTGGTTTCGGGCTGGAAAAAGAAACGTTACGACTCTGTAGTGGCAAAAAACCTTCCGTCTAAACTTTTTAACTGGGCAGCCAGAAAAACTTCAGGGGTTGAATTGAATGATTTCAACTGCGGATTAAAAGCCTACAAAAATACTGTGGTAAAAAACATTGAAGTTTCGGGCGAGATGCACCGATACATTCCTGTTTTGGCCAAAAATGCCGGTTTTAATAAAATTGGCGAAAAAGTGGTGATTCACCAGGCACGTAAATATGGCGAAACCAAATTTGGAATGGAACGTTTTATAAACGGTTTCCTTGATTTAATCACAATTTGGTTCTTGTCAAGATTCGGAAAAAGACCAATGCACCTATTTGGAGCAATGGGTTCTCTGATGTTTATTATCGGATTTTTACTGGCGGGTTATATTGGCGTTTCGAAATTGTACCATATGTATAACGGAATGAAATATAGCTTAATCACCAGTAATCCATGGTTTTTTATTGCTTTAACCACTATGATTTTAGGAACTCAGTTATTCCTGGCTGGTTTTCTTGGTGAAATTATCCTGAGAACTAAAAACAATGAAGCACGTTATAAAGTTGCCCGAGAGGTTAATTTTTAACGTAAAGTCCTAGCCCTGATAGAAGGGAAAATCCTTTTTTATTGTTTTTTCTACAATAAAAAAGATTAGAATGATAGCAGGATTAGCTCCTGAAAATTATTACTATTTTAAATTAAAATTATAAAAATATACGAATGATGAATATAGCACCTAATATACTGAATGCTGTAAACGAATGGTTGACACCTACATTTGACAACGATACACAAGCTGCGGTTAAGGAATTAATGACTACCTCACCAAAGGAACTTGAGGAAAGTTTTTATAAAAACCTTGAATTTGGAACTGGCGGAATGCGCGGTGTTATGGGCGTTGGAAACAACAGAATTAACAAATATACCCTTGGAAAAAACTACTCAGGGATTATCTGATTATTTACACCAGGTTTTCCCAAACCAGCCTTTAAAAGTTGTTATTGCTTACGATTGTCGTCATAACAGTAATACGCTGGCTAAAGTTGTGGCTGACGTTTTCTCAGCAAACGGAATTCATGTTTATTATTCTCTGATTTAAGACCAACTCCTGAATTGTCTTTTGCTCTTAAATATTTAGGCTGCCAATGCGGAATCGTACTTACGGCTTCTCATAATCCGCCAGAATACAACGGATACAAAGTTTATTGGGAAGATGGCGGACAAATTGTTCCTCCGCAAGATGCTGCCATTATCAATGTAATCGAAAATTTAAGCTACGATAAGATTAAATTTAACGCAAACGAAAGTCTGATTGAATATATCGATACTGAAATTGACAAGGCTTTTGTAAAATCATCTATCGAAAACGCAAGTTTTAATACTCCGGCTAAAGCCAAAGATAATCTACATATTGTTTTTACTTCGTTGCACGGAACTTCTATAAAATCTATTCCTGATACTTTATCGCAAGCGGGTTATACAAATGTGCATATTGTTCCTGAACAGGCAGAGCCAAACGGTGATTTCCCAACGGTTAAATCTCCAAATCCTGAAGAGCCCGAAGCTTTGACTATGGCTTTGGCATTGGCAGATAAAACCAATTCTGATATTGTTGTAGGAACTGATCCTGATTGCGACCGTCTTGGTGTTGCCGTTAGAAACAACGAAGGCAAAATGATTTTGCTTAACGGTAATCAGACGATGATTTTGATGACTTCTTTCTTATTGAAACAATGGAAAAAAGCAGGCAAAATCAATGGTAAACAATTTGTAGGCTCTACAATTGTTTCTACTCCGATGATGATGGAATTAGCCACAAGTTATGGCGTAGAATGCAAAGTTGGTTTGACTGGTTTTAAATGGATTGCCAAAATGATCAAAGATTTCCCGGAACTCGAATTTATTGGAGGTGGTGAAGAAAGCTTTGGTTTTATGGTGGGTGACGCCGTAAGAGACAAAGACGCTGTTGCAGCTACATTATTAATATGCGAAGTGGCAGCTCAGGCAAAAGCAGCAGGAAGCAGCGTTTATAAAGAGCTTTTACAGCTTTATGTTGAAAATGGTTTTTATAAAGAATACTTGGTTTCTTTGACCAAAAAAGGAATAGAAGGTTTGGAGGAAATTAATCAGATGATGATTAATTTACGTCAAAATCCTTTGAAAGAAATCAGCGGACAAAGAGTAATTATGGTGGAAGATTATCAATCATCGATTGCTTTGAATTTATTGACTGGTGAGGAATCTACAATGGATATTCCGAAATCTAACGTATTGATTTATTATACTGAAGATGGTTCTAAAATTTGTGCAAGACCAAGCGGAACAGAACCTAAAATTAAATTCTACATTAGTGTTAATGCAGAATTAGATTCGGTTGCCAATTTTGATGCTGCAGAAAGTTTCTTAGACGAAAAAATACAAAATATCATTGCAGGAATGCAATTGAAATAATAACATTACCGAAATAGCAATCAGATTGATTATCCAACTAAAAGTTGAAATTGCATAACGATAAAAATCAAAATGCTCTATTTCAATAAATTATAATTGTGCAGACAATGTCTGCACAATTTCAGCTACAATTCTAAGTAAATTATTATAGAATTATTACTGAAAAACTCGAAAGAGTAATTGCTAAAGCAGAAAAAAACATATATAAATAAATGAGTAACATAAAAAAAATAATTCCTTTTATATATCCGTATAAAAAATATGCATTCTTAAACATTTTTTTCAATGTTTTGTATGCGCTTTTTAGCACGCTTTCGTTTGTTGCTTTAATACCAATGCTTCAGGTGTTATTCGATAAAAACAAACAAATTACGGAAAAACCGGTATATCATGGAATTTTAAAAATTCAGGATTACGGTCAGGATTATTTAAGCTATTACATTACCACCACAAAAGGTACGCATGAATCCGGGTATGTCTTATCGATAATGGTCGCGATTATTATTTCGATCTTTTTGCTTAAAAACTTAGCCGATTATGCCGCTATGTTTTTTATCACTTTTTTACGAAATGGTGTTTTAAGAGATATGCGAAATGCAATGTACAAGAAAACACTGGAGCTGCCTTTGGCTTTTTATTCTGAAAAAAGAAAAGGAGATGTTATCTCAAGAATTTCAGCTGACGTAAATGAGGTTCAAAACTCATTTCTGGCTATTCTGGAACTTATCGTAAAAGAACCTCTGACGATTATTTTCACCATAACTACAATGCTGATTATTAGTCCCAAACTAACGCTTTTTGTTTTTATTTTTATTCCTGTTTCTGGTTATATTATTTCATTAATTGGAAAACAGCTAAAAAAACAATCTACTAAAGCACAACAGGAACAAGGTACTTTTTTATCGACTATAGAAGAAACTATTGGAGGCCTGAAGGTGGTAAAAGGATATAATTCTGAAAATTATTTCAACACCGTTTTTCAAAATTCTACAGAACGTTTTTTCAACTTATCAAATAGTATTGGTAATCGCCAGAACTTAGCCTCTCCTGCAAGTGAATTTATGGGAATCACTGTAATTGCGATCTTATTATGGTACGGAGGACAAATGGTTTTAATCGACAAAAGCTTAGATGGCGCTGCTTTTATCGCTTATATGGGATTAGCATATAATATCTTAACTCCGGCAAAAGCGATTTCTAAAGCTTCTTATGGAGTAAAAAGAGGAAATGCAGCAGCAGAACGTGTTCTTGAAATTTTAGATCAGGAAAACCCAATTACATCTAAACCTGATGCTATTGTAAAAACATCTTTTGATGATAGTATTGAGGTTAAAAATATCAATTTTAAATATCAGGACGAAACGGTTCTAAAAGACTTTTCGCTTAGTATTAAAAAAGGACAAACTGTAGCCCTTGTTGGGCAATCCGGAAGTGGAAAAAGTACTATTGCCAACCTGATGACCCGTTTTTATGATGTAAATGACGGTACGATTTCTATAGATGGTATCAACATAAAGGATATGAACCTTCAATCTCTTCGTGGCTTAATGGGATTGGTTACGCAAGACAGTATTTTGTTTAATGATACTATAAAAGCGAATATTTCATTAGGAAAATTAGACGCTACAGATGACGAAATTATCGAAGCTCTAAAAATTGCTAATGCTTTTGAATTTGTAAATGAATTGCCTTTAGGAATCTACACTAACATTGGAGACAGTGGAAACAAGCTTTCAGGAGGACAAAAACAACGTTTATCAATTGCCCGTGCGGTATTGAAAAACCCTCCTATTATGATTCTGGATGAAGCAACATCGGCTTTGGATACTGAGAGCGAAAAATTTGTTCAGGTAGCTTTGGAGAACATGATGCAAAACAGAACTTCGATTGTAATTGCGCACCGCCTTTCGACCATTCAAAAAGCGGATCTTATAGTTGTAATGCAAAAAGGAAAAATCGTTGAGCAAGGAACTCACGACGAATTGATTGCACACAACGGAACTTATAACAAACTGGTTACGATGCAGTCTTTTGAATCGTAAAATAAAAGAATCAACTTTTAGCCACAGATTACACAGATTAACACGGATTATTTTTCTACTAAAGAATTAAAATCATATATTTATCTGTATAATCTGTGGCTTTTTTTTTTAGAATAAATCTTAAAACTCAAAAAATGTATCTCAACAATCCAAACATAACACTTCCTGATGATCCGGATACCATTGTTTGGAAATACTTAGACTTATCTAAATTTCTTGATTTATTATTGTCGAAGAAATTATTCATGTCCCGATCTGATAAATTTGAAGATCAGTACGAAGGTACTTTTAGCGAGCCTACTTTTGAGGAGATCAAAAAACTTGCCGTTGACAATCCAGAATTCTTAAGTTATTACAAGACACATCGTGAAAAAGTAGCCATTAGCAGCTGGCACATTAACGAATACGAATCGTTTGCCATGTGGCAGATTTTTACTCAAAACAGCGAAGGATTAGCAATTCAGTCTACTATTGGCAGATTACAAAAAGCAGTAAGACCTGAAAATAATTTTGACCAGTATATTGGCGAGGTCAATTACATCGACTATAAAAAAGAATACATTCCGTTTGATGATTTATTCTTCCCGTTTCTATTTAAAAGAAAAAGTTTCCAGTACGAGCGTGAAGTCCGCATTCTTACCGACACTTCAAAAAGTGACATCAAACTAAATGACGGTTTAAAAATAAACGTTGATCTTAAACAATTAATTGAAAAGATATACATTCATCCAAAATCTGAAAACTGGTATAAAAAGACTGGTTATTGAGCTCGTAGAACGCTTAGGATTTGGTTTCGAGATCGAAAAATACTGATCTGGAAAGCGATATTTTGTATTTAGATTTTTTTTTAAGTTCGGCTAAGATTCTAAGACGCTAAGTTGCTAAGTTTTTTTTTCCACCGATTACACATATTAAAATGATTTATATTCTAGTCGCAACGGATTGTGTTGATTACAACGAAATTCATTTTTTTTTTAATCGCTAAGCTAAACTGGACTGAAGTCCAGCTCTACAATATTGGCCGAGCCTAACGGCTCTTTTTTATCGTAAAAAAAAAGCCCTTTAAAAATTAAATTACTTATTTTTTAAAGGGCCTTTTCTTTTATTTTAAAATCTTAGCAACTTAGAATCTTAGTAGCTTAGAAACTTTAAATAGGTTTATAACTCTTAACCTCCCATTTTTTAGATCCTAAATCAATGTAGTTATAATGCAAAACGTCGTTTTTATCGAATTGTCCGTTTTGGTTGGTATCTTCTATTGTTCTAAAGTATAAACGGCTTTTAGATTCTACTAAACTCCAATCTATTAATTCCTGAAAATCTTCGGAAATCTTTGTGAAGTTTTCTCCACTAATACTGCTTAGATATAATGTTTTAATATCTCCTGAATCAATTTTACCGTCTTTATTGGTATCAGAATCCGCCAGAGTATATACCATAATCTGGTTTTGGGTTCTATCTGCAACTGACTTTAAATATGTAGCCGTCAAGATCAAAGCCGGTTTATCTGTTAAAGGACGGATAGAATCTGAATCTACTTTTTGAAATTTTAAATTCTGTAAATATCCCGTAATTTCATATTCGCCTAAATTCGAAATTGTAAAGCTCACATCGTTTACACTCGAAGATCCATATCGGGATTTAGTTCCTTTTTCGAAAACGCGTAAATCGCCAACAGGATGAATTAAATAACTCGTTCCTTCCATCTGAATAGGCAAATCGGCTATTTCAATCTGTGTAGAATCTGTTTTGGATACCACATTTGATTTGTTGGCTGCATCATAAATCACTTTCGGTTTCTGAACTTCGTCTTTACAACTCACTAATGTTCCGACGATTGCCAAGGCTATATAGGTTAAAGATTTTTTCATGTATGCTAATTATATTAGGATATCAAATATAGTATTTTTGATTGTATTATTTCGTTTTATTGAATTTTACTAAGGTAAAGATGTTGAGAACTACGATTCCCAGATAAGCTAGAAAAAGATACCAATACTTTTTATACAGCGCCAAAACATATTGAAATTGCTTTTCTTTCCGTTCTTTTAAGATAAACTCTTTATTAGCTTCCCAATAACCACATGTAATGGGAGTTATTTCTCGTAAATTTTTATCAACCTTCGGCTTCGGCAATATTAAAACAAAAAAATCATTGTTATATTGTTGGTAAGTAGGCATTTGTTCAATTGCTAAAATATCTAAAATTCTAACATAAACTTCATAAGCCATTTTATTTCCCAAATGAATCTGAACACCATTTATAGTATCATTTTCACGATTCATCTTCCTTAAAACAGCCTGAAGATTTTTTAAGCCTTTAGATTCTAAAATTTCAGAACTATTAAAATTAAAAACCTGATAATTTCTTTTAATAGATTCCAAATTTGACTTGGCAAGGGATTTTTCAGAAAAATAGACATCAATACATTCCTCGCTCTTAAAGACATCTTTTCTACACCAAGAATACAAACATAACAACGGAATAAAAACCAAAGATATTATTCCTGGCACGTAAAAAATCTTTTTTCTCTTTTCACGTTTGCCTGTCATAACCGCGCATTGAGCTTAATATTAAAAACTCTCGAAGTCATATAATTCGGAATAGCGTATTGATTTTTAGAATACACATCACGAACCCATGTATTGGTTATTGCGTTTTGATTATTAAAAAGATTAAAAATCTCTAATCCCAGAGATAATTCCTTAAAGTTTTTCAACCATTTTGCTTTTGCCACTTTAGTACTATTATCTACAAAAACTTTGGCAAAACCAACGTCTACCCTACGATAATCGTTCAATCGGTTTTGATACAAATAAGGATCAGAATAGGCCGGAGCCCCACCAGGCAAACCTGTATTATAAACCAGATTCAGATATAATTTTACACTTGGGATATTTGGCATATAATCCTGAAACAACATGGCAAACTTCAAACGCTGATCTGTTGGCCTGGCGATATATCCTTTGTTTTCGTAATTTTCTTCAGTTCTTAAATAACCAAAACTAATCCAGGATTCAGTTCCCGGAACAAATTCTCCGTTCAGCCTAAAATCAAGACCTTGCGCATAGGCAGTTGCGTTATTATTGGCGATATAACGAATTCTCACATTATCGATCGAATATACATTGACATCTGAAAGTGATTTATAATACAATTCCGTCACCCATTTAAAAGGGCGGTTCCACATTTTAAAATTATAATCATTACTCAAAACAATATGTACCGATTCCTGAGCTTTTACGTTTGGATTCACAACGCCATCCAGATCTCGAAGTTCTCTATAGAAAGGCGGCTGATGATATAATCCTCCCGAAAGCCTGAAAACCATATCCATATCCCAGTCGGGTTTTATGGCAAACTGAGCACGCGGACTGAACACAATTTGATTTTTTCCTTCAACGACAGCACCTGAAACATCCCAACTCTGGAAACGTGCACCTACATTATACCAAATCTGATTAGATCCCAGTTCTGATTTTTTATTGTATTGGGCATAACCCGAAAACCTGTTGATGGTATTAAAATTTGTAGCACGAACATCCTGATATGGCAAAAGAGGTCCTGTATAAGGTTGGTACGGCTGATTGTTTTTAGGCAAAATAACAATTGGAGGATTAATAGAAAATCCAGCTGAATCAATCATTTCCCATTCTACAATTCTGTCACGAATCGATTCGCTGGTATATTTTAGACCAAACTCTAATTGACTGTCGTTTTTCCATTCTTTAAAACCTTTAATTTCTACATTTGCGATCAAAGCATCAAGATCGTTTCTGGCGTGATTAAGTTGCGAACCAATTCCGCGTGTAAAATCAACCTGAGTTGGTCCTTCCTCCCCTACATTCCCTAATCGATATTGTGCCAAAATATCAAAATGCTCCTCCTCTATAGTATGAAACAGTGAGCCTATAAATTTTAAAGTTAAACTTGACGAAACTTTATAAGTTGTTTTTAAAGCACCAAAATAAGTATCATACTGATCGCGTTCTCTTCCTTCATAATACACCGCCAGCGACATGGGCTGATCGATTGTTCCAAATTTTGTTTCGCGTGTTAATGGCTGATACAAATATTTATTCTGAGAAATATTTCCCAAAAAACTCACCTGCCATTTATCCGAAATATCATAATTTATATTGGTCTGAATATCGGCAAAAGTAGGTGTATAATTGGTTTGTGTATCCTGGCTATTGACCAGTAAACTATTATTTCGATAACGAACACCCGTTACCGCCGACCATTTTTTATTTTTAGAAACGGCATCAACAGAAATACTTCCGCCCAATAAACTGGCTTCTAACGAAGCACCAAACTGAGTTGGTTTTCTATAGGTAATATCCAAAACCGAAGATAATTTATCTCCAAATTTGGCCTGAAATCCTCCAGCCGAAAAATCAACATTCTGAACTAAATCGGTATTGGTAAAACTCAATCCTTCTTGTTGTCCGGAACGAATTAAAAACGGACGATAGACTTCAACTTCGTTTACATACACTAAGTTTTCGTCGTAATTACCACCACGAACTGCATATTGTGTACTGAGTTCATTGTTTGAATTTACGCCAGGCAATGTTTTTAGAATATTTTCAATTCCTGCGTTTGCGCCTGGAATTTTCTTAATGGTAGCGGCATCAATTGTTGCAATTCCCTGAACTCGCTTTTTATTTCTGGAAGAAACAAAAACTTCTCCCATTTGCTCCTCTGAACTACTCATAACGGGATTAAAAACAAAAACTTCATTTGGTTTTAAACTCACGGTAAGGCTCATCATTTTTAAAGAAATATGAGTAAAAATCAGTGATAACTTTTTATTTGAAGGCACACTGATTTCAAAAAAACCACTTGGCATCAGATTGCTTCGTAATACCTAAAGAGGCAATATTTACATCTGGAACAGGACGGTTATGATCATCTAAAATAACACCTTTGACACGAGCATTTTGAGCAAACGAAAAACACGTAATGCATAAAAAAAGAAAACGAATAGTAGCTTATT